TGCCTAGAAAGAAATGTTGCTTAGAGAGAAAATGTTCTGTTAAAGGCCATAAATTGAGTTAGAATAGTTTCTGTACTTCTACCTTTACCTGATTTTCCCCTAAATATGTTATGAATGTAAAAAAGTAACCAAGAATAACCACCCACATTGCAGACAGTTTATAACATGTAAGTTTTAAATCTCATTTCGTGTCACTACGTCTAGAAACCCAGCACTTACCTTTTATGGAAAAAAAAATAGCAGTATCTAATTTTTCAAGGATTTTGATAAATCTTTTCAACTGGCTCTTTTTCCTAATGGGTTTTCCTATAGAATTAGAATTTGCTTCTGATCAGCTAAACTGTCAATGAAAAGCTAAAGTTCTTGGGGCACCTGCATGGTTCAGTCAGTTTGGGTCTGTCTTTCACTCAGGTTGTGACCCCAGGATCATGGAATCTAGGATCATGGGATCAAGCCCCACCCCACACTGGGCTTCCTGCTCAGTGGGGAGCCTACTTCTCCCTCTCCGCCTGTCACTCCCCCTGCTTGCGCTCTCCCTCTCTGTGAAATACGTAAATAAAATCTTAAAAAAAAAAAAATGCTGAATCTCTCTCAAATCTCAAATCCAGCTGGCATGGGTTTTTTTTTTTTAATTTTCAGATATCCTATAAAAGATCAGGCCAAGCAATCACTTAACTCTTAGAAAAATTATAATTTCATTTTCTTCAATAAAAACATTAAGAACAGTAATTACAGTAAAAATAGTGTTAATGTCAGTAAGGCACAAATGGCTACATGAAGGTGGACTGACTACCGAAAATCACTCTCAAATTCTGAGCCAGATTCATTTTCATCATAAATTTCAGAGATGAATTGTACAAAATCCAGTCTAAGCAGAAGCATCCAAGAATTTTCTCTCCCACTCCCATTCATATTTCTGGGCACAAGAGCCAAAAACAATCAAATATAATATACGAAAGCATGTATGTATATATATGAATTCTTATTGTATATAAATGAATTCTTTCTGTATATATATGAATTCTGAAAGCTTTGTGGAATCTACCATAAATTTGAAAAACGTCTCGCATAAATTACATACAAATGTCAAGTAAAACTCAAGACAAGTTTCCCTGGTGAAGATGATAAACTATCACAACCACATACTGTACATTTACTGCATTTATTTTGTTCCTCTCATCGGATTCTTTGTTGTAGACATGAACATCTTTCTCAGTGTGTCCATGCTCCATCTTGAATGTCAAGTCCAGAGATTTTTTGGCACCGTGCATAGTAAATTACAGTATACTCTGGAACAATAAACTATGGATACAAAGTACACGGATTATCTGGGTTTTAACTGATCCTTGAAGTGCTAGGGCAGAGGAGGGTAAATCTAGGGAGATAGGCCATCAATATTCCAGACTGACTCACTGGTGGGTGTTGTCCAGAAACCAAGCTGCTGAATTTTAAAAACTGGGGATTGACTTTACCTTTCAGAGAGAAACCGGTTGCCTCAGTGACCGCCTTACTGCAGTTTCCCTAAAGCTGCAAAGCTCCTCTCTGGACACTGTTTTGGGATTTTACTATCTTAAAGAAAACAATCAAACTCATGATTTGATACTGGGGCTAACTTGAGCAGAACTTCATTAATACCACCTGTAACTCCATTTTAAGCAAGAATTGAAATTAGGATAAAATAGTAAGACACAGGAGGTGCGGGGCTGGCTTAGTTGGTGGAGCATATGACTTGATCTGGGGTTTTAAGTTTGAGCTCCACGCTTAGTGTAGAGATTACTTTAAAATAAAACTTTTGGGTTGACTGGGTGGCTCGGTCATTAATCATCTGCCTTTGGCTCAGGTCATGATCCCAGAGTCCTGGGATAGAGCCCCACATCGGGCTGCCTGCTCAGCGGGGAGACTGCTTCTCCCTCTCCCACTCCCCCTGCATATGTTCTCTCTCCCTATCTCTCTCTCTGTCAAATAAATAAAATCTTAAATAAAATAAAATCTTTAAAAAAATAAAATAAAATAAGACACAGGAGATCAGTCTTTGGTGCTTTTAATATACAACCCCTTGCTCTCTGACAAGTCCACTGAGGGAAAAAAAGTAAAGGCACTTAATATTTCATTCTCCTTGTGAAGGGAAGGCGACATTAAGCTATGGTAAAGAGGTTTGCTAAGTGTGGGGCGCCGATCTCACAGCTGTTATCTACAGACACCAACTACAACCAAGAAAGGACAAGTTCTGGAACTTTAGATCACTGTGAAACATAATCTGGGAAAAACCTATTCAGAATCTGTTCAAATTTGCTTCAGTTTTAAAACTAGTTAAAATGCTCTACGTTCAGCTGATTTCTTACTAATTTGTTTTCCAATAGCAGGGATACATAGAAGAGAGAGTTTAAAAATACACTGAACAATATTTTATGAATGAATGTCTGTGATTATGGCACGAGTACCACCAGAATGCTAATTTAAGTAGAGCAAAATTCCAAACTCTACAATTTCCACTTTCCTTCTTGAACAAATTCTGATGCACCCTGTTCTTACATAAATTTCTGAAATGCTACATATGAAACCTGTTCCAGTCCTGATGAGTATTAAACATTTTATTTAAAGATTTTAAAGTAAAAAAAAGGGTACACAAACACAGATTACATTATGATGACCAAGGCAGTATTCCACATGACAAAAATCAAAAGTTAAAAAGTATATGTACAGGTACTAAACAAGCATAATACCTGATATGCAATTCAGGCTGCAGACACGTAAAATGATCTGACCACAGACATGCTTATGCAAAATAAATTTTTTCTTAGAACACCAAAATCCCATTCTGTCAGCTGCCTTATTCCCATTCAGTATTTTGAGAGAACTTCTATATAATATAAAAGGAACTGGCATGGCACTTAAAAACTACAAAAAAACAATGCAATTAAAAACATATTTGTAATGCAGTTTTGTATAAAATATACATGGTAAATCTTATCTGTTAAAAAAAATTTTTAAAACAAAAAACCACCCTGAATAATGGTTAAAACCTTATCACAGAAAAATGTTCATCATTTGTAACACTCCTGATAGAAAATAGATGGGATTTTTTAGGGGGGCGGTGGGGGATATCTAACCTGAAGAAGTCATTTGAAATTTATTTAAAATTGTAGATAAGATAGTAACTCACTGCCTACCCCTTTCTCAAAACTTATCATGAATATTCTAATATATAACTACAGGACATGAAAAAATAGCTCCAAGAAAGTGTTTCTCAAAATAAGGTTCAAAGACCCAACAGAATTCTAAGGTGGGCCCAGCAATGTGCATTTTAAACAATGTCCCAGGTGATTGTTCCCCATTCTGAAATTTGAGAACTAATGCCCTAGGGAAACAGTATCACTTAAAAGCAAGGTCATAAATACATTTCTGACATGTCAGAATTTTCTATGGGTTTATGGTTAGCAGTGAATACTGCTTCTTAAAACAAGTTTTAGGTATTAAGAAAAACATATATACCTGTTATATAAACAAGGGAACGTTTATAAACTCTTTCTATTTGAGGTTTTCATTGCTTTCAGATTTAGTTATTTCAAGAAAAATGAGTATATGGCCAGAAACTTCAGAAAAATTACATTTCTAATAAAATGTAGCATCACAAAAAGAGATAATTTATTAAATGCCTATAAATTTTAAATCATTCTAATTTTAAAACTAGCTAGCTTTCCCCAAAATTCAATTTTACCAAGACTGGACAACTGTAACTTAGATGATTATGGTTACTTTTTACATCCCTTTTCATTAAAAAAAAAATAAACAGATGCTATCACTTGCATCCCTTTAAATAATAAATTGCTAAACACTAATATTAATAAAAATAATCTGAAGAACTCTGCCTTTGAAATGTATTCCATTCTGATTACCTGTGTTACCTACTTAATACAAACTCACTTAAGGAGCTGGAAATATTGTGCATATATATGCATGTCGCTAATATTTATTCGTGTTTATTTTTTAAAATTTCACTGAAGACTCCATAAACAGGGTCCAAAAGTAGGGATGATGGGGCTTTGGTGAAGAAGTGAGTATGGTTAAGCCACTATTTGGAAGATAAATACTTTTTCTGTATACTAAATTATAAGAAAAAAATAGCATACATTCTGTCTCCACTGGATAATGGAATGTTTTTACAAGTCTGATAATGAGCTCTTCCTTATTATCTATATCAAATCACAAAAAATAACTATGGGATTTGCTAAGAAAGAAATAAATCTCACCATTGCACTTTTCTGTATCTATTTTAAATTTCTATTTTTTCCTTTCTATATGCTGAGACATGCTCCATTCAAAAGCATCCTGGCTCTTTGCGTGCCATTTATTAACTTGCCAGTTAAAAGGGGGTAAGCTCAGAAGTTACTGCCCCTATACTAAAGAAATTACTTTCATAAGTTTTTTCAAAAACAGCTAATGATTGAAATCTGATGCTTAATAAAATGTGCCCATTTTTCCCTCTCAAGTGGAATGCGTATTCCCTAATTCAAAGCAAGAGTCATCTTTTATTACCAATTTAATAAATATTGCCTTAAAAATCAGTAATTTAATTATCCAAGGCAATAAAACTTACAGCTGAATTCTTAAACACAAACAACTCAGAAAGTAATAGGAAATACAATAAATTGCTGTTTTTTGAATCATTGTTTTATATCAAAATTAAACACTTCAAGGTGAGGTGAAGACTGAAAAATTTACGGAGGCTTAAGATGTAATCCCACCAGGTGCCTTAATGCTACAGATTCCCTGTTTAAAGGCGGTGTTAAGTAGTTTCTTTAAACAAAAGGACAACTTCATTACTCATCAGTAGGCTGCTGGATTACCAATATAGTTAAGTGTTGACACAACTGTCAGGAAACTAGTTTCATTTTCTTTTTCACAGTTAGATGTAATAAATTGACTCTCACAGCCAATAATAGAAGATATTGAGTGCTTTTTTGTAGGTGAAAAATATAAAATGGTTCATTGTATCCCAGGTGGTAACAAGTTTATTCATGCATTAAATGGCAACACAAGCAAAATGCATAGCTGGAAAATGAGGATCAGACACATTCTTCTGCAGACATCAAAAGAGGATTGATGTACTCAAAACCTTCGAATTCAGACTGATCAATCTTCCTCACGATGTCACTGTTGAAAGGAAAATACATTAATTTTCATAAACTACCAACTTTTTACTTAATTGGTAAAACAAAATTTAAAATAAGAAAAAATAAGGCTAATTTGCATAAATTATGGAGGGGAAATCTATTAAGTGTTTAGATTAGTTCCAAAACATTTTCTAGAAGAACCAAGAGTACTGAAAATAAAAGAAGACTAACAATCCCATAAGCAAGTTTAGAACTAAAAGGTGGTCCAAAATTGAAGGCTAGGAATAAAAAAGTCACAAACTGTCACAAGCCTAGTTAATTTTAACTTTTGACCTGAACAACATTCCTCTCTATAGGTGAACATACAGGTCTGAATTAGCATTCAATTTAGTCATCACCTCAACAGGAAGGTGATGATGACAAGACCCAGAAAAAGTTAACCTTCTGGGTTAACCCAGAAGGGGCCCCTGGGTGGATCAGCCATTAAGTGTCTGCCTTTGGTTCAGGTCATGATCCCAGGGTCCTGGGATCCAGCACCGCATCGGGCTCCCTGCTCGGAGGGATGCCCGTGTCTCCCTCTCCCACTCCCCCTGCTTGTGTTCCCTCTCTCGCTCTCTCTCTCTCTGCCAAATAAATAAATAAAATCTTAAAGAAAAAAAACACACAAATATGGACAGGTACCCAGAAAAAAAAAAAAGGCAATAGGGACAGGTACCCAGAAAGACACTGCAAGGAGGTAATGGGTCGCAGGGTATAAAGACGCTGGCATTCTGCTATACTGGGTTTCTAATTTAATATGCAGTAAGAGTAGTACTACCGAGTATTTTAATACTTAAATGCACAACATACTGCAGAGCACGAAGTTACACGGGACACAGTCCCTTCCTTCAAGGAGGGAAGGAACGTCATACAACAAAAAGCTACAAGAGAAAGCAGGACACGCTGAGTTTTATACAGGACAGCTAAGCCTGGATCTAACCACAGTTCTAAAATAAAGGGTGACTTCTGGTTGGAGAAATCGAAAACGCCAGCATCCACTACATAAACATATACTGAATGGAATCACGAAAGATGATGTTGGGTCTGAGAAAATGCAAGTAATTTATTCGAGTTGAAAGCACAGGAAGAGAGGCATGTCAAATGACAGGTGATCTGAAAGGAAGGTAATGGCTAGCTCAGAGAAGCCAGTGAGGTTCACCCTGAGGAGTTTCACCTCAGGGTAATCAAAGGTTCATCAAAGATCTGGCTGCACCTGAACTAGCTCAGAAAGATGGAGAAGATTCCAGTACATAAGAATGAAGGATGCATACAGAGGAACAGCATGAACAAAGGTAAGAGCACACCGTCAGGGAACGCAGAGTAACAGGAGACTGGTCAGAACACAGAGCACAGAGAGAGAGACGGCCAAGGAGTCAGGCAGAAGGAGAGGGTGGGAGGCCGTAACTGCTGGCCTAGGGGACAGATTTCATCTGCTAGGCAAGCAGGAGGTTCCTGGAGGCTTCTGACAAGGGGGTGACAGAACTGGGAGTGCTACTTAGTGAGATGGGTCGAATGGGTGGCAAAGCAAAGAAGATGCCCAGTGAGGTGGACGGGGTCATGTTCTGGGTATGATCTGAAAGAGATACGAACTGGACTCATGGCAGTGGGCACGAACATGAAGGATCTGACACAAGTAGTGAAGTAAAGGAAGAACAGACAGGACTTACTTGGCAGCTGAATGTTAAGGAAAAGGAAGGGTCCATAATCATGGGTATTTTGAATCTGAACGAACACGTGGTGACAAAATGAGCAGAAAAAGGTAAATAAAAATAAGGAACTGATTGAGAACAGAAAAAGAGACCATAAAGAATCATTACTTTTCTTTCTTTTTGAATCTCTGTACCAACATGGGGCTCAAAATCACAACCCCGAGCTCAAGAGTCATGTGCTCCACTGACGGACAGCCAGACATCTCAAGCATCGTTACTGAAAGTAATTTAGGGTTTGTGTTTGAGGTGCTTGTCTGGCGAATTAGGGGAGATGTTTAAATCAGCAGACAGAAATGCAGCTCAGGAGAGGCACTGGGAGGAGAGGCGAGGTGCTCCAGAACCATCGTTCTTTCATTCTTCACAGTGGCCTTGCAACACAGGCAGAAAGAGAACAAACAGTCTCAGAGAAGTTATGACATTCAAACCCAGGTTACCCAGTTGGGAAGAGGTGGTGTCAGGACAAATTCCTGTCCTTTGATTGAATCTGGTGTTATTTCTTTTTTTTTTTTTTTTTAAGATTTTATTTATTTATTTGACAGAGAGAGATCACAAGTAGGCAGAGAGGCAGGCAGAGAGAGAGGAGGAAGCAGGCTCCCCGCCGAGCAGAGAGCCCGATGCGGGACTCGATCCCAGGACCCTGAGATCATGACCTGAGCCGAAGGCAGCGGCTTAACCCACTGAGCCACCCAGGCGCCCTGAATCTGGTGTTATTTCTAACACATGATGCTGTCAGAAGTAATGATATTGGTACATCTCTCTCTCCTTTAGTAGACAGGAAGCTTTTTGGGAGACTGACCTACATCTTAATCGTCTTTGAATGGCTAATACTTAGCACAGTGCCTTTTGCTCAACAACTGTTTGCCAATTTCGCTGGCAGTCACTGATAGAGCTGGTATCAATATTGTGGGGCTGGCTGAAATCCCCAGGCACACACCGCACACAGCAAAGAGAAGGCTGTTGTGAACTGAACTGAACTGTGGAACATCCCTGCCTCAAGGGAACAGGGAAAAAAGGGTGACAAGTGGTCACAGAGATGCCACAGAACCAGGATGGCTAGTGCCAACCAAAGCAAGGCTGTGAGCGCCAAATGCTGTACAGACGTCAGGGGAGATGATGACGAATCAGACGAATCAGAATACGCTTTAAAAGTCAGACTTTAACAAGTCCATTCAACCTTCAGACGCTGGAGGAACAGGTTATACTGTGAGGAGTTGAAGTGCCCAGAGTAAGAAAGCGTAAGACAATCGATGTTGACTATTCTGAAGGAGTTCGAGGGAGATACTGTTTATTTTCTTTTACCATAAGCATCTATTAATTATTTTGGGAAGAAAATGAAGTAAGAAAATGTGACGGTTCAAAGATGTGCTAAGATTCAGGGGGAAAACTAGGATTTCGGAGCATGTTGGTAAGTAGCAGAAAAGCAGCTGGAAAGAGAAATTAAAGGAGGCGGAAGAACAGACATAACTGACAAAATGAAATCCTAGCAGAGAAGCTAAGGAAACAGACGTAGGGAAATGGGGCACCCCCTGCAAATGAGGGACATCCAAGCACCTGGAAGAAGGAAAAGGAGGTAAGAGAGCAATTGTGAGCCTCGCTGTGGTCTGAGGAGAGATGAAAAGGGAGCAAGTTCATAGCAGGAGGTCCCAGTCCTTGCAGTCAAGGTAAGGCAAGGCTGATCCACTATGGTGGAGGGCGCGGGGGTAGGACTGAAGGCTTCTAAAATGTAGAGACAGTCTGGAACAGCTGCGTGAGGAATGTGAGAGGAATTAGAAGATGTGAGTAAAAATACTGCCGAGGAGGAAGGGCTTCCTCGAGATGAGAGAACAAATCTGTAATGACAGGTCAGTGATCAAATACCCCCAAATTATTCTAAACCACTCTTTTAAAAAAAGCAATCTGGCAATACACATCAAGAGCTTGAAGCATGTGATCCCCTTGGACCTAATTCGTTTGCTAGGAATCTATCTTAAGGTGACCTACAGGGACTCAGACAAAAAAGGCCGTCAGCACAGCAGGGCAGCCCAAGGTAGCGGCAGGAGCACGGGCCTCTTGCCTCGGGCAGACGTGGGTTTGCGTCCTGATGCCACTGCCTGGCGACTGTGAAACTCTGCTTCACCTCTCTGAGCCTCAGTTTCCTCGTCTGTAAGACGAAGAGGACAGCACGTCGATTTACAAGGCTGTTGTAAGAATTTGAGATAAGGCATGGAAGGCAAAGTAGAAGAGGGCGGCTGTTATAACTTAAAAGACTGTCATAGATTCAAATACCCCATAACTGAATGGCTAAATAAATCACACTATAATCTGATAATGAAGCACTGTGTAGCCACTAACAGTGAAACTTCCAAAGAACTTTAGAAATATTTCAGTCTATGGAATTACTTACTCATCATCTGGAGTGAGCTGGACAGGTTCATTAGTAAACTGAGAATCAAAATTGTCCAAACCAAATTCCCCAGAAATATTTGGTTTAAAGGGAGGTACCACCTGCTTTTGCTCCATCTAGAAAAGACATATTAGATGACAGCTCAAGCCTACGTTCCCAGAAAAATTCCACCTCTACATTTCTCCTCTGCCCTTAGATGCCTCCTTGTCCTATCCCAATGTGTTCGTGGCAATGGCTCTACAGTATTCACAAGGATGGAAATCATTTACAAAACTGAACACTGATGTGGGCCTTACTAATATTACAACAACCTGGTCCATTAAATTAATATTCCAAGCTTACTGTTTTAAAAGTTTTTTAAAAAGCACTTTAGAGAGTGGTTTTAAGTTACTGAAGCTGTGATATATTTGTTTTTCAACATTCTTTCAAGATAATAAAATTTGGCCCGAGATAATAATGAAACCTAACATAGAAAACAATGAAAACTTACATACCATATCCCAATCAACATTTCGAAAAAATGGGTGTCCCTGAATATCAGCAAATCCTGTTTGTGGATGACAACCTAATCGTTCCTTTGGGTCCTATGGTGGGAAGAAATGTTTCAAGAAGTGAGTGGGTATCATGCTTTAGAATAAATCATCTTGTGACCTGGGTTTCATGTCTATTATACGATACTTCTATTTCTGAAATCAGTATGGTCTACCTTTCATTTCTAGGTAACATAATACTAGACTTAAATGAGTATCTGAAGCTTGTGACAAGATTTCCTTGTGGCTCTCTCTTCAGCTATCATGTGATTCTAGTGGACATAGGTCCACTCCTTGCTGAAGAAAAAGGGAGGAAAGAGCACCAGAATCATTTGAGTGGCTTCCTGATGTTTCTTTGGCATAGGTTAGAGTGTTGGTCAAAATATACAAACCCCAAACTTCACAAGTCTGTTCTTGGCTCATTTTAAAAGCCCTATGCCCAGGGTGCCTGGGTGGCTCAGTCGGTTAAAGCCTCTGCCTTCAGCTCAGGTCATGATCCCAGGGTCCTGGGATCCAGCCCCGCATCGGGCTCTCTGCTCAGTGGGGAGCCTGCTTCCTCCTCTCTCTCTGCCTGCCTCTCTGCCTACTTGTTATCTCTGTCTCTGTCAAATAAATAAATAAATAATCTTAAAAACAAACAAACAAACAAACCCTATGCCCAATTACAGCAATAAGCCAACATCTGTGTACAAGAGTGACACAACCATTAGGTGACTCATTGGACTGCGAAGGGACTGCAACTTATAAAAAGTCATGGCTTATTCATGACTGTGAATGAAACCATGTTACCATCCTTCTTTCCAATAAAAGACATTTTGTTTTGAATATGAAAACCTCTCACCTTCATTTTTCAGTATGTTGACACTTAGATTTCCATTTTAAAAAATCTTTCTTCATATTAAGTACTCAAAAGCCTCAACTTCTTATTTTATTAAAATTCATCATTATCTTATCTACATGTACCTGAGAAGGTAAACACACATCAACCTACTTTCTAACCCACAATTTATTTAAGGTAAGATTTACGATTTGCCAAGATTGCTGTGATACAGTAAGAAGCATATCTGGGGTCTGTCCCAGGTTCCTGACGCGGAGCTCCTAAAACCCTTGTAATTTCCTGAGTCTCAGAAGTGTCGTTTTTCATAACAAATCCCTTTTGGTTATACCTTAGTTTATGCTAATAAGGTGACTCTTGGTGGGCCTGTCATAGTTTCAGGATGGGATCTGGTTGCCAGAGGAACCAACTATGTGATTACTAGAGTTGTAACTTTCAGCCTCCTTTTCAGAGGGGCTGGAAATGGAGTTCAATCACCACTGGCCAGTGATTTAATCAGTCGTGCTGAATGTCACGGAACCGCCACAAAACCGTCTGAACCCCCAGGTTTGGAGAGCTCCTGGGTTGGTGAACACCCATGTGTCGTGAGGATGGTGCACCCCAACTCCACAGGGACAGAAGCTCCCGTGCTTTCAGATCCTTCTGGACCTCGCCTTATGTATCTTTTCATCTGGTTGTGCACTGTATCCTTTATAACAAACTAGTGATGGTAAGGAAACTATTTCCCAGAGTCCTGTGAGCCATTCCAGCAAATTCTCAAACCTGAAGTCGAGGGTTGTGGGAACCCCCAACTTTGCAGCCAAGTCACACAGAAGTGTGGGTGCTCAGTACTTGTGACTGGCCTCTGAAGTGAAGACAGTTTTGTGAGACTGAGCCCTTAAACCCCTGGAATCTGATGTTAACTCTGGGAAGTTAGTGCCCCAAAAAATGAATTGTGGGACACCCAGTATGTCTGGAGAGCTGGAGAATTGGTTGTTGGTGTGAGGAAAAACCTACACATTTGATGTTAGAAGTGCTGTGAGTAAAAACTGTTCAGAATCATAATCTTAGATCCCAAAACTCTTCCAAACTACCAACAACAACAAATAATTGAATGATCTTCCGACTTTTAAAGACCAATGATAGCACTTCATTTCTTCTGAATTTTATCTTGGGCTTTTGACATGATCATCTGTAGGGAATACTACTGCCAAGTGAGTAATAACCCAAAGAAAACTGAGTACTGGAGCTATGAGTACCACTGAGGCTATCCCCAAAGACTATAATTTTTCTCTAAATGTGTACATGATATATATCATTTACTTAAGAACACTATATGTAATATATAGCTGGGGGTGAATTACATTGCCAAAATGGAAAGGACACGATCTAACGCTGCCAAATTATTTTTTGGTGAAGAGACAAATTCCAGACCTAACTGAAAAAAAATCACATACTCTGATGTTCTGGAATGTTATACTGCCTGAACCTCTACTTACAGTTTCATTTACATACAGATAAACCACTAAAGATTGTTATATGTGATTTATACCTTGTTGAGAAAACTCTTCAGGACACTTGCAGCTTTTACAGATAGAGAACGCGGTATGCGTATTTGCTTTTCCAAAATAACTAGAATGACAAAATTAAGGCATTATATATTTAACTTTTACATGGCTTCAATCTTTACATTTTTATTACAAGGAACATAAGGCACTCTAGCAGAAAAAATAAGACATGACATATATTACTTCGGTATTTGCTTGTTTGTATCCAGTTCGAGTCTCTGTATTTCCAATCGCAGGCCTGTTTTTTTCACCTTTTGATTCTCTTACATTCTTGGTTCTCTGCTTTATCTCCATATTGTTCTTGGACTTATGGACTCACCCTCAGGGTGCATGTGAAAAGACTGTCCTCTCTAGCCACAGTCCTTCCTCCACTCTCTATGATACACAATCTAAAGGATACTCTTTGTTTTATTTTTGAGTATGAGAGAGTAGTTGGCAAATGGACTGAAGGTAGAGAGGCAGGAAGATGTATCTTTTAAAAAAATTGAAGACTCACATATTAAGAAGTACACTGTCCAAATTATTTTCCTCTTTCTTACTCAAAGTAAAAATGTGAGCCATCCTCATTCATGCTCTAGAATAGGTTATTCACGGAGAATCTCTATAAAATACTATAGATTACCTTGGAAGAGATAATCCTCTGTGTTTTGATCAGGGTTATCAGAGCTTCCAACAATATCAAATGGAGATCTTCCTGCCATCATCTCAAACATTAGTACTCCAAGGGCCCACCAATCGACACTGAAACCTTCAAAAAAGAAATTCTTTGAAGTAACAAATGATCTCCTCTGCATTCCTGAAAGTCAGTAACTTGAGATTCATTCTATTATATAATGAAAAAATAAACATAATGAAAAACTAAACTCTAAATGCATTATAACTATCATGGTAGGCAATGACGATTATAGAAATAATTCAGTTATCAAAAAGGGGAGGTACCAAAAAGATAGCTTTAAAAATATAATATTGGAAGGACACCTGGGTGGCTCATTCGTTTAAGCGCCTGGCTCTTGGTTTCAGCTCAGGTCACAATCTCAGGGTCGTGGGTTTGATCCCTGTGTCAGGTACCAGCTCAGTGCCGTCTGCTGAGGATTCTTTCCCTCTTCCTCTCCCTGTGCCTCTGCCCCTCCCCCTACCTGCATAGGCTATTTCTATCACTCTCCCTAAAATAAGTAAATAAAATCTTTAAAAACAAATAAATAAAAAATAAAATATTGGAAATGAAACAGAAGTTTCTTTTCTCAAGTATGCCTGTAATTTCAGACTCATGATCTGTTTCTAACATGTTGTTTTTGCGGATATAATTAAATTGTACTTGAGAATAACCTCCCTTGATCTGAAACTTGATCTTTTGCTAGCTGATTAAAGATCCTTGAAGGATCTTGGAATCAGATTATGAGCAGCTGTCAGAAGTACCCATCCTCCTTTACATCTGCTGAAATCGGAGGGTCAGAACCCAAGAAGTCAAATGTATGCTTAAGATAAATATATCCTCTGGTTCCTGACCAGCAGTCAATCTTTCCCTCATTTTTCAGATTCCTGGAGGAAACACCCCAGGAAATAGAAACAATCTTCTAGGGGTTCGTGACTCTGGAGTCACATGGCTAAAATATAAATCCCTACTCTGCCACTTTCTAGCTGTAGGACCTTGGACAAGTTATTTAAACTTTCTCTAAAAATGGGAATTAACCAGTGCTTACCTCCTAGGATTACTGACAGGCCTAATTCATATGTATAAACTGCTTGTATTAGTACCTAATACTTTTAGTGTTGCCCTTAATAAAATATTATTCAAATCTGTACCTTCGAATACTGGTAAGGTCCCACTGTCTCTGATTTCATAATTTAGGGTTTTCATGTAGGTTTTAAGGGGATCAAGAAAGTTTATATTAATAAGATTAGCATTTAAATACTATAGTATAATACAACGCAATTGGTACCACATTTAACCACCCATCTAGCACACAGCCAAAATGCAACCTATTTATTTATTACCATAATCTTCTCCTCTTAAAATTTCAGGAGCAATGTAATTGGGAGTACCACAAAAAGTGCTGGTTGTATCTCCTGGCCGTAATCCTTCCTTTTATAAAAAAAAGAAAAGAAAAAAAAAAAGAGAGAGAGAGAGAAATGATACAGTAAGACAGGAAATTATCTTCTAAATTCATCTCTTTTATTTCATCATCATATAAACTCAGCATCTATGGTAATATATAAAGCTTAAATAAAATACCACTAGCACAGTTGTCCATATTATTAAAATCACAGGTTGCCATTAAATAGCTTAAAGAAAACCTGTCCTCATTAGCTGTTGGTAGGGTTTAGTTAAGATAAAAATTACATTTGAGGGATGCCTGGGTGGCTCAGTCATTAATCGTCTGCCTTGAGCTCAGGTCATGATCCCAGAGTCCTGGGACTGACCCTGCATCGGGCTGAACTGATAATATAATCTCCAATCATGATAGGTGATTTTTAACACATCTATATCGGAAAATGATAAATAATACAGACAAAAAAAAATCTAGTAAGCAAAAAAAGATTTAGATAAAAGCCAGAGCTAAATATAATATAGAATATGTGTAATCTATGTGCATGTGAGGAGAGAGGGAGGAGGGAAAGAGAGAGGGTGTGAAGGACAGAGATGCCTTGCATACAAACAAGAGATTATATATTCTTTTTTTTTTTTTTGAAGATTTTATTTATTTATTTGACAGAGAGAGAGCGAGCACAAGTAGGCAGAGCAGCAGAGGGAAAGGGAGAAGCAGGCTCTCCACTGAGCAGGGAGTCCAATGCGGGGCTTGATCCCAGGACCCTGGGATCAAGACCCGAGCCAAAGGCAGCTGCTTAACCAATTGAGCCACCCAGGTGCCCCTATGTATTCTTTTTTAAGTACATGTGGGATACTGATCAAATACTAAGTCACAAAGGAAACCTCAAAATATTTTCAAAGAACCTGTATCATTTAGACTATTTATTGGCCACAGTGATTAAATAAGAAATCAACAATAAAAAGATAGTTTAAAAACAAGCTAGGGGCACCTGGGTGGCTAAGTGGGTTAAGCAGCTGCCTTCAGCTTGGGTCATGATCCCAGAGTCCTGGGACTGAGCCCTGCATAGGGCTCTCTACTCACTGGGGAGCCTGCTTCCCTTCCTTGATCTCTGGCTGCCTCTCCGCCTACCTGTGATCTCTGTCTGTCAAATAAATAAATAAAATCTTTTTTTTTTAAAGATTTTATTTATTTATTTGACAGACAGAGATCACGGGTAGGCGGAGAGGCAGCCAGAGAGCGAGGAAGGGAAGCAGGCTCCCCGCTGAGCAGAGAGCCCGACATGGGGCTCGATCCCAGGACCCTGGGATCATGACCTGAGCCGAAGGCAGAGGCTTTAACCCACTGAGCCACCCAGGCGCCCCTAAATAAATAAAATCTTAAAAAAATAAAAACAAGCTAAATAATACTAAATATACAATTAAGCAAGCAAGAGAAAGACAATTCATTTTTGTGAGTTTCATTGTTTAAGTAAGCATGCCCATTATAATAACTTAAGAAATACATAAAGGTGAACAAAATAAATGTGTAATGCTACATAACAGAACAACGCATATAGAATTAGACAATGCTATACTTTAGAACTTTATTTAATGTTACATTCTAAACATTTTACATGGTCATGAACTTCTGGTAAACATTTTAATGACTTCACAATGCTCTGTTCTGTGTTCATGCCATAATTTCCCTAATCATTGTTCTTACCAGTGGCCACTTAGATTATTTATAATATTTATCACGAACTACAATAAAAAAACCTTGTCACAAACTTTTCCTCATAGAACAAAATATGTACTCAGAATATCGCAGAATATCGCAGAGGCAGAAGTACTAGACAGAAGAGTGTGGCTGTACATCTTTAAGAATCCTGATATATCCCCACCATCTGTTATCCACGAGATCGTCACAATGCATACACTCACCAATGATACAGGAGAATACCCATTACTTTAAACTCTTGTAAGTAGACTATTTTAATTTTAAAAACCAGTATCTGGCATGCAAAAATTAAGTCTCATTATTTTAATATGTACACTTTATAATAAGGTTAGCATTCCTCACGGTTTTGTTGTTGACTTTTATGTTCTTGTCATTTTTCTTCTGAAATAAGAAAAAAATCCACTGGGGAAAAAGTGATGGAGAGGGACGTCTGGGTGGCTCAGTTGGTTCAGCATCTGCCTTCAGCTTATGTCATGATCCCAGAGTCCTGGGATTGAACTGTGTTGGGCTACCTGCTCGGCAGAGGATCTGCTTCTCCTTCTCCCTCTACCCACCCCCCATCTCATGCTCTCTCTCTCTCTCTAATAAATCAACCAAATCTTAAAAAAAAAAAAAAGAAAAAAGTGAGAGATGAAAAAGGTATCACAAATCTCAGTGATGGGTACATAGGGATTTGCCTACTAAATCTCTATTTGTTTATGACTGAAGATTTGTGTGATAGAAAAATTTAAGGAAACAGAAATTGAATATAAGAAAAGATAAATGCCTGAGTTTTGTACTTAAAAGCAAGAGTACTTTAGGTAAAGATTTTCTTTTCTAGTGTTGCTGAACAGATAATAAGGTCAAATCTTCAATACTATTAGAGTGTCTTACTTAACGTTAACATTTAAATAACCTCCAAGCTCTGGAAGCATTTCCCTCTGGTGAATGGGGGAGTGTATTCACACATTTACATGCTTGTTGACATATTACTGTGTGAGGATAATTCTGTCCCAGCTACTTTTAACAAGGAGAGTAGCTCCCTAGACATTTTGTGGAAAAACACTGGACCCTTAAATCAAACACTGTTACAGAAAGAATAAAGTACCAAGAAATAAAGGACATGTCCTGAGAGTAACTGAAATTCTTATTCTGTTCTACCATACTTCATGTCAGATATTTAAACTTTAAATATAAAAAAAATAACAGATTTCCTGATAAAATCCTGAATGCATCATCAAAAGTTACAGTTAAATAGCAAAAACTGGAGGGTGACATGTAAGTAGTTACGTTAAAGTCATGGGATTGCAGACAATTTTTATTTCCAAATTTTCTTCTGTAGTATCACAACATTCAAGATAAAAAGCTTACAGACAATAAAAAGAAATTAACTCTTATTATAGCACATATACACTCACAGAAAATACAGAATTTTGTAAATGGTTAGAAAATATGTATATATATCCTTATGCTAAAATCCCAAAAAGCACCCCAAAGTAGCAGTCATTTCCTCAACTTTAAATGTTATTTTACCAAAAGAATTTTGTGAGCTGCTGAGACCTTCTGATTAACTAGAAATTTCCCTCACCTTACACATGCCGTAGTCAGTGAGTTTAATGTGTCCTTCTGAGTCCAGCAATACATTGTCCAATTTCAAATCTCTATAAATTATCCCTCGTTCATGAAGATAATTTAACGCTAGACTGATTTCTGCAGAGTAAAATCTAAAATGAAAAATAACTCATTTGATTCAAATTTTTAAATTGTTTTATGTTTCTAGAAGTCCTACTCCCATCTGTAAATGAAAACACCAAAATCATGTCAAAAGATTTTTTTCTCCCAATGTTTTTAGAAACAATACCAAAACACAAATTGAACTACTACTTTAAAATATCTGAGCCCAAAACACAATTATAAAAGTTCCAGCCTACATTAAAGTCATAAAATTTTTAATTTGCAAGTCTCGACAGGAGCTCTTAATCTGGGTCCTTGGCTGGACTTCGGGCAATCCACACTGCTACAACCAGAGCACAGCTGTATGTATATGTGTACTTGTACATCTTCTATAGGATTTCCACAGCTTTCACCACTTCTCTAAGAATGATCTCCCCAAATGCTAAGAATCACTGATTGGTCTAGAATAGAAAAAATGCTAAAAGTCCTACTCAAACTATGCAAAATCCATACCAAAATTCTAGAGAGGGAATTAAAATAAATTCTTCTACAACCATACCATTTAATATTAAAGAGTTTTTTAGATCTGCCACTACCCCATTGGTAGATAACCAGAACTTTTGACCTGAATAATGAAAACGAAACACCCAAGTTGGTTTATGGCTCCTTTGGTGAATGTTACCATGATCATGTTTGGAGGTGCATGACACATACCTTCTTAGCTACTTAATGCTATGCACAGAGAACCTGAGATTTTATTTTGTAATTTGGTTCCCAGAAAAGGATGAAATAAAACCAGAACTGGCACTTGAATACAGTAAAAACTACTCCCAAGTCCAAATGAACAAATAAGGAACAAATTCAAGCTATGGTCACAATCAGAAATATCATTTGTGGCTCTGCTATGAAGGGTGATCGTTTAATAAAGACTAAATACAGGAAACGAACATACAGGAAATTAACAAAACCAAACACAGTTTGGCCCAAGATTAGATTAGTACAATTTCTACCTTCTTACAAAATTGAAGGATATTATCTCCTTTTGGTAAGAAATAATCAATGTCCTAACAAGATTTTCAATGAACAAGTATTTATAAAAATAAAATCTTTAACCTTCATCACATGCATATGCAGACTCATATGCTTCATTTTGGCCTTACTTTTATGGAGCACTAAAGGGTGAGAATTATTCCTAATTCTGAGTACAAAACAAAACAAAACATGGCACAGATGAATTAAACTTATCCTAGGCCATGATCCTTCCCCACCTAATTCCTCTAACATATAAGCAATTTACAATCTTATATAATAATATCAAATTAAAGACACAAAATAAATAAATAATATTTAATGATCTTTTATTCATCAATAGGTATGTGATCAGAGGAAAAAAAAAAGCCAAAGGCAGAACAATTCAGAAATTATAATTACAGGAAGAATTACATAATAGCTTAAAAGAAATTGTTTTATTACTCTCAAGTATATACAAATAATAATCAATGAAAAACTGTCAGAGAGCACTGCAAACCTTAGATGAATAAGTGTTTATAAATTCATCAACTGTTTCAATTGTGGATATTGAATAGACAAAGTATTTTAAAATAACTGGGTTTAGAAAACTAAAGGCTTTCCCTTTAACACTGTTTATACTTTTCAACTGCTTATATTAATATGTATATAACATTACATATAATTTATATATTATAATGTAAACTAATTTGTAGCTTAGCCCCTACATGACTTACAAAAACTAACTAGCATCAAAATACATGATTTATCTACTCTTTTTAACCAGTGACACATAAAAAGTCCCACAGCATTCCCTCCCCACAAGGCCCCCTCCCGCCAGCCCCACCTCCAGCAAAAATCTAACACAAACAGTACACATCTACCTGGCATGTTCTTCAGGAAGTTTTCTTTGTCGCTGCATATGAAACATTAGATCTCCTCCATTTACATATTCTATGACAAAGAACAATCTAAAACAGAGAAGAGATAAGAAGCAGAACAAATGAACATGGGGCAGGGGGAAGAGAGGCAAACCAAGAAATGGACTCTTAACTCTAGAGAACAAACTGATGGTTACTAGAGGGGAAGTGGGCAGAGGCAGAGGTGGTGGGGATTAAGGAGGGTACTCTCAAGGAGCAACAGGTGTTGTATGAAACTATACTGTACACCCGAAACTAATATTACACTGTATGTTAACTAACTGGAATTTAAATAAAAACTTGGAAAGAAAAAAAGTATTTTTTTTTTAAGATTCTTTATTTCTTTGACAGAGAGATAGAGAGCACAAGTAGGCAGAGCAGCAGGCAGAGGGAGAAGGAGAAGCAGACTCTCCGCTGAGCAGGGGGCCCAACGTTAGAGTCGATCCCAGGGCTCTGGGACCATGACCCGAGCAGAAGGCAGACACTTAACCGACTGAACTGAGCCACCCAGGAGCCCCAAAAGTATTTTTTAATTAAAAAAAAAAAAAGAAGAGGGACGCCTGGGTGGCTCAGTTGGTTAAGCAGCTGCCTTCGGCTCAGGTCATGATCCCAGCGTCCTGGGATCGAGTCCCACATCGGGCTCCTTGCTCTGCAGGGAGCCTGCTTCTCCCTCTGCCTCTGCCTGCCATTCTGTCTGCCTGTGCTCGCTCTCTCTCATAAATAAATAAAATCTTTAAAAAAAAAAAAAAAAAAAACTTTAAAAAAAAAAAAAAAAGAAGAAAAGAAAAGAAATAATAAGAAATAATCAGCAGGGCTTAAATCTAGGAACTTTACATGTCAGCAGACTTAAAAAAATAAATAAACAACAGCAGAGAGCACATGAAACCAAGATTCAAAATAAAGCAGTGCCATTTTGCATCTTAAACACTACAAAGACCAGTTACAACACAGAGAGCATTCTATAGATTTACCCTTAACAAACACTCCAGGAATTTGGTGGAAACAAAGGGTAGTTGGAGTGGAAAGCTGTTTAATCACAGAAGATACAAGAACATAAACCAGCACAGTTGTGTAAACTCTTTCTTCTATTTGAAAATAGTACCACTAGCAATCCAGAGCTTTTCACTCTCACCCCAAGTTCAGCATTTGCAAGGTAAGTCATTTTCATCTGTTACTTAAGGTAAAGAAGTTAGGATTTCTCTCTCTAGCTAAATTCTAGGAAAATTTAAGAACTAAAACTAGACTCTTGGAGATATTTATGACCTGTCCTCTTTTTTTTTCTTTCCTAAGCAGGTAATGTCCTAATGCCGAATGCTGATCCAGTGTTAAAATGGTATCACTGATTGGGCTCTGAGTAGTAGGAAATTTTAAGCATAGTACTGTTGTGTCCATCTCCATGTCTTCCACTTCCGGCTTACAGCAGAAAGCAGCTCTCATTGTGTAAAGCCCAGTAATCATCCCATTATCTTTTAAACTTACCTGCTTTCTGTCTGAAAGCAAGAATGCAGCCCAACAAGAAAAGGATGATTGGATGCCTGTTCAAAAACGTGCTTCTCTGTCTGTACCCAATCAATATCCTGTTTCAAAATATGAAAGAAATCTATGTCAAACTGAATTATAATGAAAACTATGATAAATTTATTCTTAGTAATTCAATTATCATAAATGTAATTAGTAACTAGGCCAAATATCAAAAGCACTGATTATCATGAAACAACATGAAACAAGAGCCTACATACAAAGAGAAAACACCACCAATAAATCTTTCAATATTATGAAATGGTCTATGAAAACTTTTACAAAGTTCCAGTACATTCCCTTGATAATAATATGGTTTGATTTTGATTTTTTAAAAATCTAGTAATCATCACATTACATTAAATCTATCTTATGTAATCTGTCTGAAGCATTTATTTAGAATAGACTGAAATTTAAGACACAAACATTGAGGTTTTCTCCGAAATAGTACACTTAATCCAATTTAACAGTTCAAAATAATAAATCATTGTACTTACCTCATCATCATTGACCAGCTCTTTTTTCACAACTTTCATTGCATAAATACGATCTGTTTTTTTTAATCGCACCAATAGTACTTTGGCATAACTTCCTCTGCCTATTACCCGAAGCAAATCAAAGTCCTGAAGACCTAAACTGGATGAAGCTTTGCCACTTTCCCTGGTATTCATTGCCTGTCAAGAACATTTACATCAAAGAGTTATGCCTGGAGAAATTTTGCGTAATACGTTATATTTATAACACCTGATTATACCTAAGATGATTTTAAAATATCTTCTAAGTTCTTAATAATTTTTTTCTTACATCATTCCAAATGATATAATCTAACTACACAGGATGTAGGATCAATTCATGAATTGAGCTCAGAGGGATAGTCACAGGAAGTTGAAATCTGAGAAGTGTTAAAGGGTATCTTAAGATCTGATAAAATTTGGGTCTGGAGGCAATGAAGGTACATGAATTTAAAAAATGACACTAACTTTGATGACCTGGAGACTGGAGGTACTACTGACAGAAAAACAAAGTGTGCACACAGGGTAAGATTGACAGAGCTACTGAGATAAGAGGCTTGGTTTTTCATCCTGAAGATACAAGCTACAATGGGATATCAAGATTAAAGAGTCTACTGGAAGATTGATATATGACATCTGAACTAATGGGACGACAGAGACACTTTTAGAAGCTATAGAAAGAAAACAAGCATGAGAGAGCTTAACTAGTGGAAAATATTTTTTTCTACACAGTACCAAGGCTCCTTTGGAATAACAAAATTAGCCTTAAATTCATTTACAATTAGAAACTTAGGCTTCTGGTAATTTATAAAGAAGACTGGAAGATAATCTTTTTTTAACATATCTGCAAAATCCTCTGCATATAATCAACAGATGTACCCATAAGAATTAAGTATGAATTTTCTCAAGTGAAGAGCATCAAGAAAAGCAAAGAGCAAATTTTAAGAAAAACAAGTACAAATCAGAAAAAAAAAAGTATTATGAAAACTGAAGGAAAGTGATGTTTCAAGAGAAGGGTCATTTACAAAAATCTAGAAATAAAAATCTGATGTGGTAATAAGGATAAATAAAGAGGAGTGAAAGAAATCAGATTAGAGCAGATTAAGAAAGCACAGAATGTTAAGAAGATAAGGCAAGTGCGCCTGGGTGGCTCAGAGGGTTAAAGCCTCTGCCTTCGGCTCAAGTCATGATCCCAGTGTCCTGGGATCGAGCCCCGCATCAGGCTTTCTCCTTGGTAGGGAGCCTGCTTCCTCCTCTCTCTCTCTGCCTGCCTCTCTGCCTACTTGTGATCTCTCTCTGTCGAATAAATAAATAAAATCTTAAAAAAAAAAAAAGAAGAAGATAAGGCAATTTACAGACTTTAAATGTGATTAACTGGAAACTGTGAAAGAGAATGACATGGAACAAAAGCACAACACCTTCATAGAATCAATAACAATGCAGAAGCAGAAACCAGTGGTATGTCACCATCAAAGGATCTAAATACCCTGATGATCTACAGAAATAGCCTTCAAAATGAAAGTGAAATAAAAACATTTTCAGACAAACACAAACTAAAGAAGTCCATCACTAGTTGCCTCTCACTAAAGGAAATATTGAGTTCTTCAAGAAGAAAGAGAATCTCATATGGAAGGACAGACATACAAGAAGGAATGCAGAACAAAAAAAAATAAAATATGGATAAACCTAAATAAAGACTATTTAAAAACACTAGTTTTTAGGGGTGCCTGGATGGCTCAGTAGGTTAGACATCTGCCCTCAGCTCAGGTCATGATCCTAACCAAAAGACAGTTGTAGCTAAACCAATATAAGACAAAGTAATTTAGCCTACTGTGGTAGGCTGACTTCTAAGATGTCCCCCAATGATCCCCACCAGTTAGTATTCATGCCTTTGTGTTATCCCCTCCCCTTGAGTATGGGCTGGATGTAGTGACTTGCTTGTAATTAGAAAAATAATGCAAAAGCAATAGGATGTCACTTCTGAGATTAGGTTACAAAAGACTGAGTTCTGTTCTGCTGGCATTCACGCTCTCTGGATCTTACAGCTTACTTGCTCTGATGAAATAAAAGTAAGCTACTTTGTTATAAGCTGCCTTATAGAGAGGCCCATGTAGCAAGGACAGAATCCCATCAACAATTAGATAAGTATGGAAGCAGCTTCTTCCCCAGTCAAGCTTTGAGGTAAGAGCAGTCCTTGCCAGCACCTTGTTTATAGCCTGTATGTGATTCTGAGGCAAAGGGCCCAGATAAGTCATGCTTGGATTCCTGACACATAGAAACTATGACATTATAAATCTTGTTGTTTTAAATTACTACATTTTGGGATTGTTACATAGCAATTACCTAACATAAGAATTTTAAGGCAAAAAGCATTACTAAAAACAGAAAGGGATATTTCATGATGAAAAAGGGTTAATCCAATAGAAGTATTATGATTCTAAATTTGTATGTATTCAATAACATGGCCTCAAAATATATAGAGCAAAAGCTAACAAAACAATCAAGGAACAGACATACCCACAATGTAACCTTGTGGTTGAGAGAGAACAGTCAGTGAGGCAATAGAAATGGAATAACATTGTTAATAATCTTTAACCCACTGAGCCACCCAGGCACCCAACATTGTTAATAATCTTGACCTAGATGACCTGTACAGAACACTACTCAATAACTACAAAATATACTGTATTAGAAAATACGTATGGAACATATACCAATGTATATGTAACTTAGCCTTCAAGCAAATTTCAAAAAATTCAAAGGACAGAGATCACAACGCATTTTCTGATTTTTAGAGGAATTAAGTTAGAAGTAAAAAAATTTTCCAAAAAAAAATTTTTTTTCCAAATATGTAAAAACCACTATACTTGAAAATAATGCTCTGACCAAAGAAGAAATCATAATAGAGATTAAGATATATTTTAAAGTGAGGGCCACCTGGGTGGCTCAGTGGGTTAAGCCTCTGCCTTTGGCTCAGGTCATGCATGGTCCCAGGGTCCTGGGATCGAGCCCCGCACTGGGCTCTTACTCAGCAGGGAGCCTGCTTCCTTCCCCCCC